GTAGTTTAATTTTCGATTCTTATTCTATTTACTGTTTTGGCCTTTCATAAAATTGCCAATGTCGATTATTTATTTTTTGTAGCTTGAAGATGGAATTTATTAATTATTACATTATCTTCCCATTCGTATCATTTGAAAAATTGTTTCTAAACGATCTCGACTTGGTTTATAAAGAAAAACAAACGTAAAAAGCCATTATCATTCTCAACATATTTATCAAACAATACTTTTATGTTTCTGATAAAAATCGAGAGCAGTGACTCCGCGCTAAGAAAATCAATAACTAACTATATATACTAGAATCATAGTTGCTGATTTCTCCGCACTCACCAAAACGTTTAAAATAATTTCGAACACGTCGTTCGAAAGGTAATTATTTTCTGAAAGTGTGCAAAATTCCAACATTTTCTATAATGCGGTTGCCGAAATAGAAGCAAACGAAAAGTACAAAAATCTCCAAAAAAGTTGTAGACAAAAAAACCGCGCTGGTAGACAAAAAAAAATACTAGGTTTATAAATTTCAAATTTTAAACCTAAGTTTTTCTCGTTATTGTGAGTTGCTAGTTAAACTTCCGAGTTGATAGGTCAAAGTTCACCAGGGATTCTCCATAGCGCTATTTTACTTTTATGGCTTAATCTTACGCTCATAAGGATAAAATTGCATGAAAACGAAAGATTTTCATTCAAAATGTTATCCGGAATAACAAAATCCTAAATTAATGCCAATTAAAACTTTTAAACCATATTTCTAAACGGCGCGGCGTATCGAAAGAGTTCTGTTTGCAACACGTTCTGACAGCGATTAGCGATCGAATTGTACTGTACATCATTATCTTATGTCTTGATATAATAATATAGTTATTAAATAAAAACAATTGATATTTAAACAAAAACACCTGAGATGTAAAAAATTGCTCCAAGTAAAAATTTATGACAATTTAGACTGGTCAAAATTTTTCTTAGCAGCTTTTCTTTAGTAAACATAAGCTTGATGCGTAGAAGCGATATCCACAAGATTTTTACCTGTATTGTAGTTTTCTACAATTCGCCTCCAATCGCCAAGCTTATGTTTACTAAAGAAAAACTGATAAGAAAAATTTTGACCGTTGTCAACTTTGCCATAAACTTTTACTTGGCGCAATCTTTTACATCTCGGGTATTTTTGTTTGGATAAGTAATTTTTTTAAAGATATGAATATTTAATTTTTATTATTACTTTCATATGTTTTTAAAAACATGTAATTAAAGTTACATTTTACCAGAAATTTATTTTTTATATTTTTCATTTTTGAAGCTGAGTATTATGATAAAGAAATGTAATCCTCCATTTGGCTTAACATTATTTCATAAATTCTTAGTCACCAAATACACAATTTTTCAAGTAAGTTTTTTTGTGTTTGTGTAGTTATAAAATATTGAATATTTTAATATTATTATAATAACATTTTAAGAATTTACCAAAATAAAATTAATATAGATCTTTATATTTTTTACTGGAATGCAAAATTTCTTAAATCCGACTTGTAATTGTTTAAATATTGCTTTTGAACAGCTTTGCAGCGTATTTCTCTCGATTCACGTTTTCTTCCTGCAACTCAGATTTTTGAGGACAGAAGATTGAAGCTGGTTTATTCTTTTCAACTTATTCATTATAATATTATATAGTATTAATTTTGAATTCATATAAGAAATGGCGAAATCACGGACAGAGAACTGAAAATTAAATATATTAAATATGATTAAAAATGAATAATTTGAATGGACTGTATTGCATCACTTCGATAATTAATACAATTATATTACAGTAATTAAAATCTGTATTAACAATGCCGTTTTTAATATTTGATATGAAAACATTTAGTCCTTAGAATGTAATTAGGAAAATTAGTGATTAGTAATTAGTAATTTGTAATTAGTGAAAATTAGTGATTAATAATTAGTAATTTGTAATTAGTGAAAATAACTTAATATTTGTATGACTTATTACTTTTACATAATTAGTTTGTGTTCGGTTTCATTGCATAATTTTCTGTTTAAGTCAAAATTTGCAGACATTACCTGATATATTTGTATATGTTTATTTGAAAAACTAGTTGTAGCTTTAATTAAGAATAAAATTCAAAACAGTATTTGAAAATGGGTTCTAATTACTCTAAAACAATTTCAATATCTTACTTATGTAATTGTAAAGAGCATTCTTTTGATCATTGTTTTGGATCACTAATGATACAATTCGTATCTTCTGTAAAGTAAAAACAATATTGTATTTGATGAGCGTATTATGTTATCAGTGAGAAGTTTTCTCGGTTGGTAGTTTAATTTTCGATTCTTATTCTATTTACTGTTTTGGCCTTTCATAAAATTGCCAATGTCGATTATTTATTTTTTGTAGCTTGAAGATGGAACGTTTTAATCTCAAAATGCATAGCGAATAAAAATTTCTTTTGCCAAAAAGACTTGTCTCCTGATTAATAATATAAAAGTTTTTTAAATAAAAATTCATAACAGCCGGGAAAGTTAAGAAACTCTCGTTGTTAGATTTTTCAAACATCAATTGATACAACAAAAATACAGACAATGATAAAAATATTATCACGGTCGATGACAGCAACGTAGACAAAATTGACTTTTGTAGTAGAAGAAACGCATAGAAAATTAAATTCTTAATAATATAAGTAAATATGGCGTTTAATCTGAAGCAGATAAAGGCAAACACGAGCACGCAATTAGAACAGAAATTGTGATTTTTATTACATATGCCATAGTAAGTGTAGCGTAAATTGTTAAAAATGTTAAATGGTTGATATCATTTCTAGCACAAATCGTGAAATGTTTCATGCACAAATCGTGAAAGTTCATATTTTGATCTTTCCAACTAAACAGAAATATCATCAAGCCTACTAGGCTAAACTAATCTTCGTAATAANTGTTGGATCAGTATGAAAGAGATGAAGAAGCCATTTTATTATATCATATCACTAAAGATCTACCTGTGACAAAAGCAAGAATAAATTTAAATCAAATGACTGATTCTGATTGCTTGTTTTACTTTCGGTAAGTGATATATTTATAAATTAAAGAAAATACTTAAAAAAGGAATAATACTTATAAAATTTTTAATTTTTATAGATTTTCAAGAGATGATTTGTTTCATCTGAATTCTGCTTTACGCTTTCCATCTGTAATAATTTGTGAAAATGGATCACGTTTACTTGGAATTGATGCATTATGTATTTTATTACGAAGATTAGTTTAGCCTAGTAGGCTTGATGATATTTCTGTTTAGTTGGAAAGATCAAAATATGAACTTTCACGATTTGTGCATGAAACATTTCACGATTTGTGCTAGAAATGATATCAACCATTTAACATTTTTAACAATTTACGCTACACTTACTATGGCATATGTAATAAAAATCACAATTTCTGTTCTAATTGCGTGCTCGTGTTTGCCTTTATCTGCTTCAGATTAAACGCCATATTTACTTATATTATTAAGAATTTAATTTTCTATGCGTTTCTTCTACTACAAAAGTCAATTTTGTCTACGTTGTTGTCATCGACCGTGATAATATTTTTATCATTGTCTGTATTTTTGTTGTATCAATTGATGTTTGAAAAATCTAACAACGAGAGTTTCTTAACTTTCCCGGCTGTTATGAATTTTTATTTAAAAAACTTTTATATTATTAATCAGGAGACAAGTCTTTTTGGCACAAGAAATTTTTATTCGCTATGCATTTTGAGATTAAAACGTTCCATCTTCAAGCTACAAAAATACGTGTAAGTATTCGACATCAGCAATTTTAAGAAAGGCCAAAACAGTAAATAGAATAAGAATCGAAAATTAAACTACCAACCGAGAAAACTTCTCACTGATAACATAATACGCTCCTCAAATAGAATATTGTTTTTTTTAAAAACAATTTTAAAAACATAAACAAACAAAAAAGTAATAAAATTCAATATTTACAAATTCTCAAAAATTAAAATAAACTACCAAATGGAAACGTTCCAGTTTTATATATATACACAATACGCTCATCAAATTATTTTTGTGGAATATTCTTTGTCAAAAACTGACCGACCGCAACATTTTTATATTTTTGGACTCAGGGGACCTTGAAACGTCAAGAAATGCAAAAAATTCCGAGATTTTTTTACGAATGCATGGATATTAGTGTTTGTGTATGTGAGTATGTGGGGGGGCGTGATTTTCTTCAACCTATGTGAAGCTTAATAACTCCCGTGCTTTTTGTCGAAATTTTCTAAAATTTTGCAGGGAGGTTTGTGTATTAGCAGGGTTGATGCTACTGAATTTTGGTGGTTAAAGGTTGAGGAGTGGGGAAATAAACGGGAATCATGTGTCTTATCTTGAGTAGGATCGGACTTAATAAAGATTTTAATGAATTTTAGCATTTACGATTTTGTAGAATTTCCATCTCTACCCTCAAAATTAAGCTAATCCCACTTCATAATAATTAAAAATATAAAGATATTGAATTATAAAATATCAACACACTCAGTTTTAACTGTTGACGGGAAGGTTAAGAAACTAGTTGCTGGATTTTTTATAATAGATGTTTACCTAAATAAATATTTTGATAAATAATACTTATTGCAATTTTAAAAAAAAACAAAGATTAAATTCATATTTTGTGTTATGGATTCAGAAGAGAAAAACATACAACAGCATCGATTATTAGTTTGTGTATCAAGGAATGTGACATTGGCAAAGAACAATCGCCTAAAAATCCAGGGGTATGTGAACTACTGACGATTGTGTTTCTTTGCATGAAGTAGTAGGCCTATATTATAAATTTGGTGTTTTCTGTTTTTACTATTAGGTCAAGAATGGAAAAACTTCTTGGCGTTTACGTACGAAAGGACAAGAACGAGTAAAACATCAATTATTTATTTCAGGGTAAAGTAGATTTTGAAAGTATGGTAAAAAAAAATTAAGTTTATGCCATTAATGCAAATTTATTTATACCACTAATGACATAATAATTTCATAATTCCATTAGATATATATTGCATATGATCAATATTATCATCCTAATCGATTTTTCTAAGTAAGAACTGCGTAATATAATTTCTTAATGACACCTTAAGAGCTAAAAGCAGATTCAATCAATTGTCAATTAGGCAAAACCTTTTATCAATAAATAACATAAAGCAGAATACAACTTTATGTAGTTCCTAAATTGTGTATTGTCTCTGAACACACAGTTTAGGAATTAAGTGAAAAAAACAGCGTATCTCGAAAAGTTGCATACTCCATGGGTTATATAAGCACATTAATAAGAAGTTGCATATCAATGTGCTGGCAAATTTCAAACACAAAGTTTTTTTTTGGTAAACTTCTGGATATTGGATACCTCGTTTTCTACCAAGCCCGTCAATTAGTAAATCACATAGAAATGTATTTTAAAAACATTTATGGAAGAATATTTTATATTGAAATTTTTGTTTCAAAACGATTACATATCTACATAAAAATAGAAATTTATCTGAAAAATATAATAAAACAACTAACTGCTTTATATAAATATTATATTGAAGTATAATTTATTATCTCTGAAATGCGAAAGAATTTCTGCTTTCACAATAAACCATTTAATAAATATTTGGTCTAATAGAGATATGCATGGTTTAATGAGAAATGTATGGGGTTTTTAATAATCGATATGCATTAACATTATACGAGAAATATAACTGAAATCGATTTTCCGTAAATAGCATAAAATTAAGGAAATCTAGATTTGTCATTAATACTGCTTAAAGAATTTATGTCCGTTCAGAAACAAGCTGAGCACGAGCAAGCAGCAATCAAAGGTTTTCTCTATAGCTAGACAGAAAAAATTAGAAAATACTCCTAGCTTTTAAAAAAATTGTGAACATGGCAGGAAATTTGAACAAGACAGAACAGCTCTTAATAACACTCTCGAATTGCATACGCGTATTTGGGTTGTACGCTTGTTTCGATGAGGAAAATGCATTTTGCAAATTTATATCGAAATTCTACAGTTTCATGCTTATTCTATTATATTGTTCAGGCAGCATTTGGATGATGACTATGATATTTCTTCCCGAATTAAAACAGTTTTCTTCTCAATATTTAGAAACTTGGAAAGAAGATATAAGTATTATCTGTACCATTTATCTTAGTTGGTATATTTTTATTATTATAATTCTTTATATATTTATGTGTAATAAGACAATTAGTCAAGCAAAACGATATTTTAGATATTTAATAACAGTCGAAATTCCAGCAAAGTACGAAAAGCGACTAGATATGATGTCGTCTCTCGTTATAAATATTTGGATTCCAGTTGTATATATCATTAGTATTGTAATATCAGCAATAGTAGCGGGAATTTATCTTAAAATAAATTTGCAGTTTGCGAAAAATGGTATTATTTACGTATTATGTAAAACAGTTTACAGTACACGTCTTATTGTATATAGGATAAATATTACGTTTTCCGTTGTAATAACCTGTATTGCATTGCTTGCTGTTATTTGCTGGAAACTGAACGCCATATTTAATTATGTTAATGAGAATCTGATGGATGAAGATCTAAAGGTTTCTGATATTTTCCGCACTTATTCTTGTGTATTACAAATAATTAAGGATGCAGATAAAATTTTATCAAAGGCGTTTTCAGTGGCTATAACAATTTTCTTTACATTGTCTGTGTTCTTATCTTATCAAATAGTGTTCAAAATACGTCGGACTTCTAGTTTAGTTGTTTCGTATCTTGTACTTATGGTAATTTTCGT